CACCCCGCAGTGCTCGACATTCACCATACACCCCGCAGTGCTCGACATTCACCATACACCCCGCAGTGCTCGACATTCACCATACACCCCCACACGACACTCACTGATCAACGCTCACCATACTTCCCTTACTGATTGACACTCAAGCTATTTCCTCCTTTGCTCAACATTTCCCACACCGCGCAACACTCACCATACACTTCAAACAATGCAACGCACTGTAATACAGCTCGCATGCCACATCGGCCAAACAAACATAATTATAATAACATTTACTTTGGTGCAGTAATTATTTCTACTTTTATGTATTAGTAACTTTTTACATTAACTTTTTGATATATTTGTTATAATTAGTCAAATTTAATATTTATACAAAGATAATAATGTAAGGAAATATTATGCTAAATATTAAATTATTTTAAACAAGTTACTGCATCAATGTATTATTGTAGTAGCTTTGTAGTGAAGAACAATTCTGTAGATTTGTATATAGATTTAATACATAATGGCACTTAGATCAGCTTTGCACATATTGCTCGGTGGTTTTTGTTTTGATTTTCAATTTGATCTAATTTATTTTTCCAATTCAACACTCAGCTTGAACTGAAAGATGCGACACTGTGGCCCAGTGCACGGCCTTGGGATAAATGTGACGAATCCACCTTCCTTTATCTACCTCCTCCTGTCTCCCACAAGAACACACAGATGCAAACCCTCGAAGTAGCGCCCAGTAACGAACGCCCCGTAGGCGAAGTGGTCGAAGATATCATAAGAAATACCGGAAAATATCAAATACCTGAAAAATTGAAGCTAAAATTGCACGTCAACTATCAAAACAACGAGGCGTCTAAGAACGACTCGTACCTCTGGTCAGTTGTTACTAATAATAGTCTATCTACCATATCGGAAATAAGTAGCCCACCGATGACACCGCTAAAATCACCCCTCTCCCCAGAGATATATAGTTCAGTTTTCTTTGAATACCCTACTACACATGAAAAACCCGATGTCAGATTATTATGTATAGATTTCATACTTTGGGAGCGATTATCCTACCAATTAGTATATCCGAACGTCACTATGGTTAGACATAATAGTACCGCGTCATCTAAATCTGGCAGCATCAAACGTATAATGAGCAAGATATCAAAGAAAATTAGACTTTCTGATGATAGTGAGAAGAGCGAAATTGCCGTATTATCGTTGCCCGGGCTTAGTTCTCCTAGTAAAACTGTAAGCGATTTACCGAGGGAAGTAAAACGTATTCCTTTGTCCTCTACCCTGTTGCTCCTCTCCCAGACAAGGAAACTTCTTTTCCCGGAGGGTGTATGGTACTATAACTACCTGGATTGTGTAAGTTTGGTTGTTGGTATTTTGCATGTGTTTGCATGAAATGCTTTGCACTTTGCACGACTAACAAATATTAATATATAGAAAGGCGAAGGGTGAAGGAACTTGGTATGCGAAAATAATGTGTTTAAATTCGTATATGTTTTTATTTTCAGATTTTTATTTACAAATATACATTTATATGTATTTTTAAATTAAACATAAGACAGAACTCAAGCATAATGTTCTACAATTAGCTTCTATTTGTAACCTAAGAATAACCTATAACTATTAAACTAAATAATTGCATGAATATAAAATGACTAAAACTAAAATCGTTAAAACTATACTATAAGGGCTTTGTTTGTATATATTATTGTTTAATATGCATAATGAGTACCTCCTTTTGAGATTACTTCATCTTTTTGAGTGACGAATCCATAGACCATTCTATATTATTTTATTTGTCATTCAATAAAGCTTTGTATAGGCATAAGTATGTCTCGGTTTTAATAATGTGTGTACATCGTGTGTATCACTTTTTATTTGTAAGCATTAATATGTGTGTTGTGGTGCAGTTCGAAGTGAAGGAGATGAAGCGGCGGCAGGAGGCGGCGGAGGCGGCGGAGCGCGAGCGGGCGGAGCGCGAGGCGGCGGCCGCGGCGGAGGCGGCGCGCGCGGAGCAGGAGGCGCAGCTGCGCGCCGCAGAGACGGTGGACGCGCCGCAGCCGCATGGTGAGCAGCGCACTCGGTGTATACCAACACTCGACACACAATACTCGATGCATACCAACACTCGACGTAAACACTCGATGTATACCACGAATCGACATACAATACTCGATGTATACCACGACTCGACATACAACTCTCCATGTATACCAAAATTCAATATCGCTCACCGTGATGATAGACAAGTTGCTTTAACTAGCAAATTATGCTTCTGATTTTTAAAATCGAAAGTTATGTTTGATATTCAGATGAGTTTAATATAAACAACTTTTTTAAAGTTCCAAATTATCCAACAATGGATAATTTTTTGCCAAGTGGAGATTTTTAATACATGTGTATTTATTTATTAAATGTTTTACAAACAAGTTATATTGAAAACTTGTCTAGTGTCCGGTTTGCGAAAGTAATTATATTAAGTAATCTTAAGTTAATTTTAACTTTAAGTAAGAGTCCGTGTTTTGAATTTCTATACATTTGTAATTATCCCCTCCAGTTACAAAAAAAGATTTAGAGTAGTTACCACTAGTACTAATTTTAATTACATTGTTATGATTGCAATGTTTCGAACCCACTTAATTTTATTTAATAATTAACTTCACTCGTAACTCACAGTTTGTACCTCACTAGCATGTCTTGAATACCTACTCTAGCACTGTAAACCGTTTCTATCCAATATTAAGTAATTATAATAAACCTCTGAATATCGCCGATTAATAGGTGAATTGCTTGCCGACTGTATAACCTAAAAAACTAATGTTACGTACAAAAACTGTGAGGACAATTATGAATAAAAGACGTAGCACTTTTCGCACAGCGATAATGCCAAAGGTCTTACGGCGTCGCTTGCCGCTTTACATGTTTATTTAAGAAATTTCTGCTTACTCGGCCGACAAACGAACGTACCAACTGAAAGTATTAAGTAAATTTTCAACAATTCAACTAATGTAAAGAAAATGACGTTTTTTATAAAGGAGGGTTTTGAGGGTTGTTGGTTGTATTTCGTTTGTTGCGGTCGAGGGCGTGTTAGAGGGGCGTTACTGACCGATGTGTTGTCCACACATGCACTCGCGTAGTCGTACGGAGAACGTCCACTAAAGCGGCCGAGAAGGGCCAAGAGCGGCCGCACTCCCAGCCAGGTAACGAGCGCTTGTACTACCGATGATACCCGGCTGCGCGCATGAGCTTTACCGTAGTTAACGGGGTGTCGTCTACATTTAGTCGGGTTACACGCGCTCTGACGTAACGCCTACACTTCGGGGGTAGTTTTGTTTTACACACCTCGTAAGCTTTGGAAGACTAGGTTGTTTTTTTGTAGGTTTATACGTAGACGGGGACGTATAGCACTGATATTTTTTTCTCGTTGCACGATTTCAGTATTACACGATTCACGTTTTTCTTATTTTACATAGGTGAAGGTTTCCGTTAATGACGGATTGATCATTCATTCCATTTTGATTTGGATATAAAATTACACTTTTAAATATTATTTTATACCCAAATTTAATGAAACGCTCGCAATCATGCTCAAATGTCTGATTATATCACCTATGTAACTATTTTCTATATATTATTTCTTGTAAAAATATCTAAATCTAATCACGGTGAAGGTTTGATATGTTCTTGTCTATATATACTGTCTGTCTACACTATCTGTCTTTGGGATACTTTACACACGCTTCTCTCTGAAGTTTAGACTTGGCGAAAGAATTTATTAACTTTTATGAGAATTCCAAGTCAAGTCTAGACAAAAACTGGATCATTCAACTCGAAGCTAAAAACTCAAAATGTGAGTCAAGCTTCCCATCTTCTGTTTTCACCGCTGTCTGCGTAAAGGTAGGTCTCTTTGAGTTTCTTGTCTGTGAGTACACGTTTTCTTTGTCGCATGGCTATAACTGTATTATATATTTATTTATGTATATGTTCATGGCTTAAATATTTATTTTGCTGACACCATTTTTAATATCATTGTCATTGACTAACACGGCAAAATCTTAATATATCAGTTTAGTTCAAATAAGGAAAGTATTAAGGATTACATCGGGAAAGAAATCTATAGTAACGTGTAAAAGAACACTAATGTTAGGTCAAAAACATTACATTTATTAAATTCTTGCATTACGATACTTATTAAAATACTTAATCGAAATTAAAAAAAAATGCTTAGGAACACTTTCACACTTTTAAGATCTACAATCGAAGGTTAATATGATTTAAAAATTAAAAATAGAAAATAATTTGATAGACTATTCTACTCTCTAATAATATTTGTTTTAATTTATTAAGTAATAATTAAACTATTTATGTGTAACTTATTTCTTTCGATGATACAAAAACAGTATTGTCTCATTTACGTTATTTTACTATTGGTTAATGAAAGTTACGCATGGATAGTGTAGCATGTAGTAAGTAACGTAGCATGTATGCACGTAGTGTTAGATGTAACCTAGCACGTAGATGTACGCATGCAGACGCCAGTAGCCCCGCCCCCGAACCCGAGGCCCCGCCCTCGCCCACGCCTTCGCCTCCGCCCGCCCAGGACCCTCCCCGCCCCTCCACGTCGAAACCGACGCCCGCTAAACCTGCACGACTCTCCAGTAAGTATGCCAATACCTAGTCGACTTGCCACGGGTTTATGTTGAGTCGATACGTGAAATAACTTAACTAATTATTAAAAAACTAAAATCGATATCAATGTTCTAGTCACTATTTAATGTTGAATACGATGTTTCTAGTCAATTTTCTATAAGTAATGTAGTAAACTTTCGTTTTTAAAAACTGCAGTTTGAATCACATTTCGACTTAACATTTACACCGTTTCTACTAAAGAGGTGTGTTAATAATTTAATCATTAAACATGAGTTGCATGTTAACTCATTAATATCCATGTGTTTATCTGCCATTTTCGTTATTATACATTTTGTAGAGATAAGAATTAGCATGTCGATGCTTTTGTTTTTTTACGTGCCGCAGTTTGTTTTTATGTTGCTTTGAAGTTTTTTCTTTTTCTTTTTATTCCTACTCCTTTACCCCCACCACTCTCCGTACCCTATTCAATATTATACAATCAACAATCAAT